AAATTCACAAAATATCCAAGTTTGCTATGCATCTTTCGGATCCATTCTATCTATTGTAGTTTCCGAGAAATCAAGTTCTAATTATATGGCGTTTCGAGCGTTAATTTTTTCATTACTTTAAATTCACAAAATATCCAAGTTTCCTATGCATCTTTCGGATCCATTCTATCTATTGTAGTTTCCGAGAAAATCAATTTCCTAATTATATGGCGTTTCGAGCGGTAATTTTTTCATTACTTCACATTTGAACGCGAATCACAGCCAATTGGATGAAACCACAGGAACGTATAAATACTCGATACATTCACAAAATATCCAAGTTTAATATGCATCTTTCGGATCCATTATATCTATTGTAGTTGCCGAGTAAATCAAGTTCTTAATTATATGGCGTTTCGAGCGTTAATTTTTTCATTACTTCATTTTTTTGAACGCAAATCACAGCCAGTTGGATGAAACCACAGAAACGTATAAATTCTCAATAAATTCACAAAATATTCAAGTTTGCTATGCATCTTTCTGATCCATTCTATCTATTGTAGTTTCCGAGTAAATCAAGTTGCTAATTATATGGCGTTTCGAGCGTTAATTTTTTACTTTATTTTTGAACGCGAATAACAGCCAATTAGATGAAACCACAGGAACGTACGAATACTCGATAAATTCACAAAATATCCAAGTTTGCTATGCATCTTTCGGATCTATTCTATCTGTTGTAGTTTCCGAGAAAATCAATAAAATATGAAAACACTGCGTTAATTTTTCGTTTTTTTTCAATTTTCGCGAATTAGGAAGAAACCACAGCAATATTTCAATACTCGCTACATTCCCCAATTATCCAACTTTCACATGCACCTTTTGGATCCAATCAATTGAAAATTATGTTGAAAACATTAAAATTTACTTACTTTTAGTTTTATTTTTCAGACTTAGTTTTTGTTTTTTTAAGTGCATAAAATAAACGAATAACGTGAATCCTTGTAACTTGATCACAATTATTAAAATTTGACGTGCACACCTTTTATTGAAACATACGTGTGACGTTTGCATGCACATTCAATGAAGCCTACATTATGCATTAGCATAGAGCACGGAAGTCGCTTAATTATTAAATATACAAATAATTTATTTTAGTTATAACAAAACCCAGACTGTATCTATTTAATAAATATGAAAAATGTTAGACAGTTCACCAAATCATAAAGATAGATCTAGTGAACATTGATTAAACTTTTAACGACGAGAGAAAAACGAAAATTCTATTATTATTATTAAGGAAAACCTTCTAAAAATGTAAATAATTATGAAACAATTAAAGTTATTGAAATGTTTTTTCTTTAAATATTAATCTAAACAAGCGGAATTAATTGCTTTTTCTTTTCCCCTTTGTTATTCGCTTCGTATTAAAAAAATGCACAGAGGTAAAAGCAATAAAATATGCTGAAACTTATTAAAAATTCAAAAGGCTATAAAAAAATGTTAAATTGCTTCCTTGTGCATCAACATTTTAATTTAATGTCACTTATGAATATTCATATTTTGCAGATAGTTTTAATTAAAACATAAATGGTTTACGAGCTCTTTTTTATCAGTTATTTTCTAATTTGCAGTTTAAGAAGAATTTAAAGGAGAATAATAATTTTGGATGATTTGAAGAAAAAGTAAAGGAAATTAATGTAAGGTTTCGAATATTTATTGAAATGTATGGTGTTTCGTAATTTGAAGTGGTACAATGTTATTATTATGCATTTTTTTCTAGTGATTATTGGAGTTGAAGGTGTTTGTAGATGATTTCCAAGAGGAGTGTGAAAGCGGAGATGGCGTATCCGACGAATAAGCAGTAGAACGTCCCCTGCATCTTGCTCAGGTCGATGTCCGAGTATCCCGGATTATCCCCCGAGTACGTGGAGAAGTATCGCGGCATGTACTTGAAACTTGCAAAGTCTTTGTACTTGGTGGTCTTGTACCAATGCGCGATGAATCCGTGCTGCACGAACCGATTGATCGCCTTATCGAAGAACTTGGTGTAAGGAGAGTTCTTCTGCAGAGTGATCACGATGAAGTACTCCCCGATGCACTCGCCGAGTACCTTCAAATTCTTCTTCCCGAACTCGTCCAAACTCTCCACTTCGCTGACGAATTCGTTGCCCGAGATTTTCGTGGAAAACCCGAACCGTCCGTCTCTGATCGCTCTGTTCCTCTCATCAATACTCTGCTGCAGGACGAACCGTTTGCTTATTTCGATGATATCTTCGTTCTGGCTGTTTTCCAGAATCCTCAAAGTTTCCTCATTCGTTTCGCCCCAATACACGTCCTGTTGAACCATGTCGTGTACAGTGTTTATTGGCTCGGAAAGTCTTGGATATGCTAGGATACTGGTGAACCCTGCTGAGTAGCTGGTGTTTATTAAAACGCTGGATATGCACCACATGATTATCAAGAATCTGAGCGTGTTTTTGGTTGATGAAGGCGAAATCGATATTCCACCTGCGGTGAAGACGCGGAAGGTGAATAGAGCGCAGATGGAGTAGTCGAGGTAATGGTTTTTGGCGGAATCGGGGAAGTAATTTTCGTAGAATGTAGCTGAAATTTGGAAGCTTAAAGCTATTATGAAGAGGATGAAGAGGAGGAATACCCAGAGGGTTGTTTCGAATGGTTGGAATACGAAAGTGGAGAACGGTAGCGTTTGAGGTTTCGGGACGAAGAATGTAGCGCAGATTTGCGTGTATGGATAGGATTGATCCAAGTTCATGTTGGCTGTGGTCATCTGCCAAGTAGAGCAAACACCGGCGTCGCTTTTGTTCTCAGCTACTTCTTTCAAGACCTTATGCCAAGAGTACTTTTCGTGCACTTTATACTCCAAAGGCCAAGATTTGGTGATTTCCTCGATCATGTACTTTTCGATTCCGTTGTAAACGCCCTTGTCGTCATCGTAGTACACGTAAGGTCTGCAATCGAATAAGGACACTTTGAATTTGGTATCGACGAAGGTGGGCATCCAATCTCCTAGTTTAAAGTCGCCGGGTACGAGCCCGAAATCAGGCGTTTTATGCCACTTGGCGAGAACGCGATTCCTATTAACCGATGTCACGAAAATGGATCCAATCGAAAAGTCCAAGCTCCAAAATCCGGTGTCTATCACCAGGATGCACTGCACGGTGATGATGTCCATTCCGTGAAGATGCGCCATCGTCGTGAACGGTTCCACCTGGAAACTGTCGTCACCACCGAAAACCACTACAACCCTCCGGTGCGGTAACATATCCCGACTGAAAGCGCTCCTCAAACTCTCGAAATCGTTGTAGATCACCACGTAACCCGTAGGTTTACAAGATTTCGGATCCTCCAAAGCGCTCTCTTTGATAATCACCGAGACGTTAGCGTAGGCGAAGATGTTGCTGAAGTAATCGATGAAATCCGCACTCTCCGACACCAAATAGATGCAAGCTTTATTCTCGAACGAGAGATCCAAGACTTTCGCGATAAACTCATCCTCGTATTGAGCAACAGCGACGTGAAAAAACGACGCCAACACTAAGATGAGCGCAATCGATGCGATGGACATCGTTACGCAATTGGCGTTTACCATTTGGGTTTTCAGTTGTAAATCACGCATGCAAAGTACAATAGCTTTTTTTTAATGGGTTTGTATTTGTATTCCGGCAAATTGGAAGTGAGTCCGTCGCGATCGACAAACATTAAGCAAAAAAAAAACTATATAAATTAACGTAAATGTGGGGGAGAGTCGGAATGTGAGAGGGTTTTTCAGTTTCAGCGATAAATAACGCACATTATCGCGGAATGATTCATTACGACTTACTTTATTTGTTTGTCGCTTTTTATTTTGCTAATATTTACATGTTTTCTACTTTCTTCATCAGGGAAAAGCTCCAACGAAGATGTTCTCGTCGGGCCGGACAGTCACAGCCCTCCGGTTTACACCGTCGGCAATTCTTTCGCCGATCAGATTTCCGCTTCGGCCCCAGGAAGCGTCACCGTCACGGCAACCATCACCAAAGCCGACGACGAGGTAAACATCTTTACGCGTTAATAATTATCTCTATTAACACCTAATTGTGTTACAGGGAAGCTGGGTTTCGTCGCCGAAAGACACTGTGTTTCCTGAAACCATCCCCGAAGAGAGTTCGAGTACCGAAGAGGAGCACGTCGTCATCTTCAGGTTACCATCTCTGCACGAATCCGATGGGTTCCTTCGTGATCCTTCCATCTACACAGTAAACACTTTTCTATCGTAACTATACTTAAAAATCAAACAATTGGCGTGTTGCAATTTTGCAAGTTATTCAGCAAATTAACTAATCTGTATTAATCTTTGGGTGTTTAAGGCGGAGACGAGTCTCTTCCAGTTGGCGATGAAGAAAAACGGTAGTGGAAAAAGTAGTGTGCATTTAGAACAAGTAACGGCAATTTCAGTTTCAGATACGAAACAAGCGAAGCCCGGTTCGCTGAAGATGAGGTAACTACAGATGTTTTCTTTATTTATCCAATGATAAATCTAATTGTTTCATTTGGACGAAAGTTCTTCCACAGATAAGGATTCCATGGATAGCAGCAAGCAACCGTCGACGGATGGAGCCGAAGACTCGAAGAAATCTTTGACGGGAAGCACTTCAGGTGATGTTTCTGCAGCAACTTTCCTGGACGTCGCGGTGCTCAGATGTCTGTTCATCACGCATTGGCAGGAGGAAGGAATTTATTGGGCCTTGCACTACATGTACAATAGGTAATATGCAACATTCTAAAGATGAGAAAATAGAAATAGAAAGAAACATTACATTTGATTGCAGATTGCGAGATATAAATGAAGAGAACGCTAGTCAGCAGCAGCCGAGGCGAAGGAGTAATTCCCTTCCGATTCCCAAGATCGAAGTCTCCATTTATCAGAGCACCGAGAGTAAGGCGGAAACAAAAGATTTCATCGAAGTGCCATCAGTGAAAGACGTTTCTTTGTTAGCTGGTAAAAGTACTGTTAAACCCTTCAATTAATTTTGGTTTAATTGTTTGTTTGTAGAATCTCCGTATACTGCTAAACGTTCTGACGAATCTCTTCACACTCGTAGGGCGAGCGAGAAGACGAAACGCCGCATGAAGATGGCCGATTTGAAGGCTTTCGTCGAGACGAAACTCTTGTCGAAGTCTGATAAAGCTTTGGAGAAAATCGGACAGGATGAGCCTAAGCTCTTGGGCGAACAAGCGGTGGGTTCCAGGCACTTTAACGTATGTAACGAGTCTTCCTTTCTTCTCGCTTTCGCCTTTAACTAATTAGTTAATTTGGAAAAAAAATTAATGGAAATGTTAATGCTCAGGAATATCATCGAAGCTTGGATACTGGTGATGAGCATCTGTCGAGGCCGAGTCCGGCGATGTCCAAGATGTTCGAGCACACGAATCTCGTGAAAGGAAAGAGTATGCCCAGTTTGAGGTTTGTCAACGTTCCTTTAAATTATCAACAAAAACTAACTTGAAAACTCATTCTCAACCGTATGTAGACCCTACGTTACTCTCGTTCACGTTGGAGCGACGATTCATTTGTTTATAGAAACTAAGCTTCTAAATCAGACTTAGCGCAATAGCTAGAAGCACCCCCCTGTTTGAACTTGTTGAACTTCTTTTTGCACGCATGGGTTTTTATTCTCGAGAATTCTCACCAACGCAAAGACGAAGATGAAATTTGATACGATTACGTTTCTATTGCTTGTCTCCTGTAAATACCGACGAAGAATTAACCTCTCTCTCTCTTTCTCTGTCTGTATGTTTTCATTCTCTATGTTCTGTCTTCCTCTCAGCTGTTTGATAGATGAATTGGCAGCTGGTGGGTGAGTACCGCTCACTATAGTATAACTACTTTATTATTATTGTTATTACAACTTCTTCGTGCATGCTCCACGTCACCTTCGTTGGTTTTGTTTTTAGTGTTGATCTTTGAATGCAGATTCATCGGGGAGATTCACTCGGAGAAGAGACGGACAAGTAAAGCGGTTCCCGGTCAACCGATGGCCAATCCCATCATCACCGTCACCGAACACACTCCAACTCCATCACCGGATTTCCTCAGAAGACATGTATTTAAAGCCTCAAAAAATCATTAATTTATTAATTAATTTGATGATCTTTTCAGGGATCCATCGACAGTCAATTGGACGCGATCAGTTTGACCGGTCCGGGAAAGCTGGGAGCTTGGCAGGAGCGTAAAGCCAGCTTGAATCGTTCCCAAACTGATTCTAACATAACGTATGCAGCTGAAGACATCCCCGAAGCTCCTGGATCTTTCTGTTACATCACCAAGGAAGGAAACATCGATTTACAAGTTGTTCTGAAAGTCAGTGAAGAAATATTTAATATGATTGTGAATTTATATTGAGTTTGATTTTTAGGCTGTGCATTCGGCTGTGCTTAAGGATCAGAATTGCTGCACTCTGCGTGTGCTCGAAGTTATACTGAATTTGATTGAACTCTTGATGGATTTGGGTGTGATGAAACAGTTTTTGAGAGACGAAGCTTTATCTGAAGCGTCGCAAGATAAGAAGGGTAAATCGCAGGGAGAGGATCAAGCGCCTGAAAATGAGCAAAAAGAGAATACCATCACCACTCACAAGTTGATCATGAACGTAATCGTCAGGTATTTGCGTTTATTGGATTGTTTGATTAGTCTTTGATTTTCTTTTAATTTTAAGGGTTTTGAAGCACCTGGGTTGTCAGCACGGTTGCACGGAGGGTCAAAGAGGTCCTGCCGCCGAATTCCTGCGGACGCAATGCCAGAACATCCTCGCGAAACTCAGCAGGGCGAGCGGGAAGCAGTTCAAGTCGTTCCTGCGGGATTACGTCAGATATCAGCCTTTACCGGATATCTTGGATCTGTTCCACGCGTACGTCGGTTATTGTATAGATCCGAATTCGCTACTTTCGCCTCTGAGTAAGTCAACAAAATCGTCACAAACGAGAACACGAAGCCACAAAGTTGAAATAGTACTAAAAAAAAGAACCTCTTCGTTGTTGAGCACTCTTTCACTCTCTTATTTTCTCTACCAATCAAATATGATTAGTACTATTCCAATGCACACCTCATATATTTAATTACATACACCTAGAAGCGCATCTCGCTTAACGTTTTACACACCCCAAATGAAGAATACTACAAAGAAAATACTTTATATAAAAAAGCTGTGGTCTTGCTTCCCCCTTTTTTGTTTTGTTCTGAATTCTCGTGGCCGTCATCTCCGTTTTATCATCATTTTTTTATTATTATCTCTATATTCTATCTATTTATATTAGAAGTAGTGGTGTTTTGTTTTTGTTGGTAGTGGCTTTGAAACAATTGGCTCTTTCGGAGTCAAGTTTTTCAAAGCGTAGTATCCGTGACGAATATAAAAAATGTTTCATTATCAGACCAGAAGCGGGGCTCTAGCAAGTCGCCAGACATTGTTACGCAAGGTGGTTATGCCACAAACTTTGGCACAGGCCTAGGTGGAGGAGGCATCCGCGGCGTCGAAGGACAGATCATCTCCAGCGTCTTCAAGCCTCTGGTCACCAGATTCGTCGACTCGTCCAAGGAGATCAAGGCACCGGAGAACCTAGTAAATTCGTTACTTTTTTTTGTTACTAATAACTTAAACTTTATATCATATCATTGTGTTTTTATTATTAGGCCATGTACTGCGAGATCCGACAGCTGATGACTTATGTGAAGGAAGGCCATGGCAGCGTCTTCAGGCGAGTCGCTCTAAGCGCCCTCCTCGACACGGCCGATAAACCAACGAAGAAAGAACCAGCTCTGCAAACCACAAGAGTTATTAGGTATTATCAATAGAATTGTGAAGAAGTTTTACTTTAGTTGATTACCTTTTAGGCATTTGCATCATTCGGACATCGACGACGTGGGTGAACTATCGACGGATCCCAGTTACCCGATGGACGATCGAGGCGTCAGGAAGTTACTCTTCAAGAAGCGAAGCACCTCATCCACTTGCGCCGTAAGTCCTCCAAACCAAATCCTTTTTTAAACGCAACGAAATGTATATTGATCAGAGCTTATTGGAGACTGACGCCGAGGATCTGAAGAGCAGCCAAAGCCCTTTGAGCAATCTGCGAAAGAAGCACCACATCCTAACACCCAGACAAAGCGAACGCGCTCTAGGAATAACAGATCCGATTATTATTAAACCAAAGACTAAATCACGTTTAGGAGGATTAGGTACAATTGTAACCAATTCCATTAACATTTTTCTTAATTACAATTATTCTTACAGTTAATTGGTTCAAAAGAGGAGACACGACTTCCATGGACGGATCCGATAACCCGGACAGCAACGAGTCGATCACGGATTCGAGCTTCATCCGACAACCTTCCAAATATTACCAAAGAATGCCTGTGAAAAGCAGCAGTTCCGGGTATTAAATTTCATTAATTAGAAAATCAAAATATTCATTACATGCATTTTAGGAACGTCGGTCAGACTTTGCAGAAAGCCAAGAGGAGGGTGGAAGATCGCTTCACGAAATTCGTCTTGAAGAAGGGAAAGAAGAAGGATGGAAGCATGGAGGAGAGTCCTGGAAGTTGTCAGTTAACTTGTGTCTATTGGGATTTGTATATATCGGTATTATATTTCGTTTCAGATTTGAGCAGAAGAAATTCGATGGAATTCGGCGAATCTTCGAGGGAATCGGAATTCGTCGTGTTCAAAGAACGCAAACTGGTGCCGATTGTACCGCTTTATAATGGGGTGTCTAGACTATCGTTTCTTTTGGAAACTTGTCCACCTGGAAGCGTGCCGGATGCTCATCTTCTTGGAGCGGCCTTGGATTTGGTTTGTTTTCAAAATTTGATTAAGTGCTTTTATTTTAAATTCATTATTAAATTTGTTAGCCTCATTCGTCTGTTGTTGCCAGAGCTGCTTTAATCTTGGAGTGCTCGTATTTCGTGCATTGTTGCAATAAAGGTCAATGGCCGACTTGGATGAAGCTGAGTTTTCCGATGTTTAGACCTTCTGGACCTTTACCACCTAGAGGACAACCTTCTGGGATTAGGAGAACGCATATAATGCAGAGAGCTGCAGGAAAGATGTTTTACCAATGGGCTGAGGTGGGTTGCAATAAGATTTTGATTGATTTTTTTTATTGCATGATCATTGTAGATTCTTGGAGCGCGTTTGGAGGAGTTGATTAATGAGGATAAAGCGAACGCGCCTAATATCTCCGCGATGATTTTGGATGAGAATAAGCAGAAGGAGTTGCTGCTGCAGGATGAGGAGGAGGATTTCTTGGATGAGGCAAGTATCAATGCGTATGGTTCCAGTTGTCCGGTGGCTTTGCGTTATATAGCTTGTACGCTCTTGATGGAAATCACCTCATTCCTGCGAGAGACCTACCAGACGCTTCCGAAGTCTTCGCGGATTGCAGGAAAAGATCGACCTCCGCCTTGGGAGAAGATCTACAGCAAGGAAGCGAACAGAAGGTGGAGTATGGCCTTATCCTCGATGGGTCATTCTCAAGCTTCCGCGCAAAGTCTGCAGTCCATAGCAGGCGATAGAGAATCCGGACAAACCGAGAGGAAGATCAGCTTCGTCCTGCACGAACCCGACAACGAATCAGAAGGTAGCAGCAACACTACAGTCACGATACAGGTTATACTCTGTAGGATAATCGGTTCTGTTTCAAGCGAGCTCACTGTTAAATTCTCAGGGAGAAGATAGCAAGAAGATGGGTGCGAGGAATTACCTCCTCCGACGCGGTACTCCCGGCGTTTCCGGTGGTAGCTTCAAGCGTCGCAGTCTGAAGCTGCGCAGGGGTACGAAAGAGGGTAAAGATATGGAAACTGAATGTACGGGTAATTCTAATTATGGCGACTCGTTAAGAAACACTATGATTTCTTTAAGATAATTCCGTGTTTTTTGAAGGGAAAATGCCCGACACCGTTAAGCGCACCGATTCCATACAATCCAAGCGAAAGGTCAGCTCCATCTCGGATCGGAGTGATACTTCGGAACCGTGCATGGCTGGCGAGGCGAGCGGTGAAGAATCTCCGGGTGTGCTGAGTGATGATCAACCGCCGGAGAGTCCGAGCGACAGCAACGATACAGACGATACCTCGAAGAATATGCCCTGGATGAAAGTCATGGTGCAGCTCTCCAACTCGCTGTACTTTTACTGCACGCATCAGAACTACTGCCATCCGTACTGCTACAGGAGGGTCATGAGGGCATCCACGAGATTAATCAAAGCAGTGCGGAAGGTCTACGGCGAAGAGTTCGGCGTTTTAGAGGACAAACTCAATATGGATTTCGAGGAGAAGACTCGCAAGAGCACGAAGAAAGATAAAAACCAGAGCAGAAAGGTTTCTGATCAATTGAGCTCACAAGTCTCTCCAATTAGAAGGAAAGACAGCATGGGAAAACGAGACAAGTATAATTGATTCATAACTAATTCTTAATCAAACAATTAATTTCTTAAACGCAATTAGAATCGACAAAAACGTTGACCCGTCCCAAATCCATAAGATGTACAAAGATTCCTCCAGAGATTTAGCTGATGACCCAAACAAGGACAAGAACAAGGATAAAGACGAGAAAACCAAGGAACCTCCAGCTATTTTGAAATACATTAAAACTCAAGTAAATCATCTATTTTAAATATCAAATCAAATTTAAACTAATTGCTAATTTAAGGTGAAAACAGCTTTCCACAGCCCTTTGGCGGTATTGATCAAAGGCGCTGTTATTCTGCNATCAAGAAGTTGCGGCTTGTGCCGCTTCCATTTTTATTCTTTGCGCTGTTAAAGTCCCTCAACTTGTAGCAGAGTTGATGCAGCACGAGCTGTCGCATCCGGAAACGGCGACGCGAATTAATTCGATTTTAAGGTAACAAAAAATCAATCAATTTATTTTTTTAAAACGTTTCAATTCCAGATTTCAAGTGCTTTGGAAGTTGCGTTATCAGGTTTGGCCAAGGATGGAGGAGAGCGCTCATTTGCTCTTCAAAGTGCCGCCACCCGGTATAGAATTCACGCTTCCATCGCCGAAGATCGGTATAGAATCTTTGGACGTGGTGGATTCGCCTTGGGAGTTGTTGGTGAAGACGAAAGTAGAGGAAGTGACCATCAATCAGGAAAGACATGTATTGACGCGACAAGTATTTTCTTGAAGGAGTATTTCTGTATTCACAATATGTTATAATTCTTTTAGAGGTCTTTAGTGACGGCGACGAAAACTCGGAAGAAGCAGCAAACCGAATTGATTAAGATGGCTCTGCAAGCTCAGGATGATAAGAAGCGAGAGGAACGCGAGAATTTCTTGATAACAACTATTCCTATTACTGTGCAAGCTGCACACGAACCCAGCCTTTACCACACCGGAGAAGAGCACGAAGAAGGTGATTTGTTTTATATAATTATTACATATTTAAATTAATTATTGAATATTTTTTAGCACCTGCCGACGACGAGCAACCGGATGCACCTAGAAACACAGGTCATCACTTGCATTCGGCTCATTCCCTATTCCCATCCTGTCTTTGCTCAGCTGTTATCCAAATTATAACTTTATTGGATGATGCAGCCGTGTCTGCAGATGGTTGTGCAGTTTACGAGATTGCCTATCAAGTAATTTCAATTATAAACTAATTCCTTCAATTTATAATCCATAATTTTAGGTAATTTGGTGTTGCTTGGTGGAAGACTCCGCTCTATTTCTGCGTTACATCTTGGAGCGGCTCACCAGAGAGAAGCAGGATCAAATGTTCAAAATCCTCAGACATTTGATCAGATTCATCCCGAAATTGCCGCAGCAAGCCGCCTTCGCTCTTTACAATTACATCATCGGTTACGTCATGTTCTACGTTCGAAGTCCGCACGAAGAGGGCCAAAAGTTAATCGGCACGGCCTTATCCATTCTATGGATGGTATTTAACCAATTTAATTACACAAGAGGCACAATATATAAGAATTAAATTGCAGGTCGTGCACAGCGTTCATGGAATTATGTTTAAGGATTTGAAGCAGATCCTGAGGAAGGAGCAATGCGACGCTTCCATCCTTTTAACGGCAAACGTTCCTTCAGCTAAGAAAATCATCGTGCACGGACCACAAGGTTAATTGATTTTAAACAACAATCTTTCAAATTTTAATCTTTTTTTTTTAAGATCCGGACGCTGGAGGAATCCCCTCGCAATTCCCGGTGCAAGAGGACACGCAGTTCTTTCAGATCCTCAAAGAATCGTTGGATTTCTTCGGAATCGACGATCGAAAGCACAAGGAGTATTTCCTTGTTGATTACAAAACGCGTTAGTTGTATGAAATCTTGACTAAATTAGTTTATTATTTGATTGTTTGATTGCAGATCAAATACGTAATCCTTCTTCGTACGTGAGGGATTATTACTTTTTCAAGAGATCGCAATACCCGCAATTGGAGTTGGTTCATATGAAGCCGGAGCAAGCGTTCGATGCTCTGCAAAAGCAAGAGTTGGGTTACAAATTTGTGGAAATCGGTAAAGTCTTGTTGACTTGGGCTATTCTGAAAAACGTGGATATGGTCGTGCAACGCGTCGTTTTCCTGCACGAAGAACTGATGAAGCTTCCATCGTTCCCAAGGAAAGCGTTGGAATCTGATATAACTTTGTATCAAGGTGGAGAAATTGGAAAGGTTGTTGTTTTAATTGTTAATTTATTGTTGTTAATTTGTGTTGTTTTCAGATGCTTTTAGGTTTGGACGTTTTACATAAATTCATGTGGGTGAGATTGATAGCCAGGATGTTCGAGGCTATGGCCGGAAATTTCGCGTTTTCCGGTGATATACATCTTTTCTTAAACGTGCTTAACGGTGCAGTTATTTTACATTCCGAAGACGCTTGCATTCTGCGTTACGTGATGGCGACGTTCATCAACGCCGCTTTTCATTTCAAGAACATTTTCTCGACGAACGGTTACCTTCTCATTATTCCGACGCTGCTGAAGATCTATTCGAATCATCAGACCAATAAACTGGTCACGACGACTATAGAGTACGCAGTGAAGCAGTTCTATTTGATGAACAGGAAACCTTTCATTCTGCAGATGTTCGGGTCGGTTTCGGCTATGTTGGATACCGATGAAGAAGGAACGTACGGGGATGCTCACAAAATCCAATCGAGTTGCCTTTTCAATTTACTTCTTAGCTTGGAAACGCCGTCTCCGGATCCTCTGAACATCGCGGAATTGGTCAAAGAGGCGAAACCGTTGAAACCGATAGATTTTTGCTACCACGATGAAAACGAAATGGTCACTATACTCGATTGCATCGCGCTTTGCGTGATGGTCGTTTCTTACAGTTCGGAAAGTGCCAGAGGATATCAAATGCTGGTAATTAGTTTAATAATAATTAAACTAATTAAAAATTAAATTAATTTTCGTTAAAGATTATCTTGGAAGCTATACTGCCTTGCTACGTGCAACACATCCAATTGCCAACGTACAATAAGGAAGGTAAAACTGAGAAGGAGATTATCAATCAATTGGCCGTGGCTATCAAAACTTTGATCAACAACAGCGAACCTTTAACTAAGTAAATTTGTTAACATTTTATTAAGAATTTACTCATTTCTTTAATTTGCAGGAGTTATAACGGACCTTACAGATCTAGTCCCGAGCATAAAGGTTCGAGTCAAAGAAATTACGCTCGAGGTCCATATTCTCCAGGTTTCGATTTCGAGGAGGAATCGCATTCAAAGTTCTTAAGTGAGCATTCCAGGGCTAAAGTGGTTTATGAGCACGACGTCGAGGATTCGGAGGTGCTTCGAGCCGAATACCGAAGACCCAGGGATGTTTTGTTGTCTTTGGTGGGAGAGTTCATGTGCAGAGCCACGAATCGTCTGCAGGAGCTCAACAAGAGGAGCAATCAGGAAGGGAAAATCATCGAGCTTTTAGATATCCGATCTCATATTGTGAGTGTGCTTAGAAATATTTAATTTATCTTTAATTGTTTGTTTGTAGCGTTTAGCTGATATTGCTCATAGCTTATTGAAAGTCTCTCCTTACGATCCTGAATCGATGGGCTGCAGAGGTTTACAGCACTATATGAGTTACATTTTACCATCGACTGAATGGGCTAACGATGCTATGAGACCTGCGCTAGTCACGATACTCAGAAGATTGGATAAGGTTTTCCAGAAGATCTCGAAGAAACCTTCGATTAGAGTAAGATTTATATAAATTCCTTAATTAGATGATTTCCTTTTTTATTTGCAGAGGAATACTGATTGGGATGCAGCCGCCGGTCTTCTGAAAGGAATCTACGATACGATGATGAAGTACCCTTACATCATGCATTGGCAACACGTGAAAGCGTTAATAAACACGTGTCAGGTAATAAAAATTAATTATAATTCAACAAACTGTTAATATTGTCGTTTTTAGTCTTTGATTGTTAGTGAGAACTGCGGTGAAGGCGTTCCTTCAGCTACAGCCGCTTTGATGAATCAAGCTCCGCCACCGAACTTTTGCTCAACTGTTGTCAGACTCATAGCTCTTCAGATCTTGAACACAACTGTAAACTTAAAATTATTTTAGTTAATTAATTAGTAATTGATTAACGCTTTCTTTTTTTAGGATATGTACAGTTTGGAGCAGGTTTGCGGCGGAAGCTCGACGTTTCCCACACAAGAGAAAACCGAAAATATCATTATGAATCTCATAATGCCTCTATGCTTGAGAGTTGGAAGCGGACGTAGAGATTTGACAAATATGCGACAAACTGATATAACATTCTCGTTGACGCTGGTGCTGCACGCCATGAGTCCTCCAAACACAAAGGGTCCCACTTCCGGTGTGCAGAATTTGAAGACCGCTACGGAAAATCGTACAGGAAGTCTAACGTTCACCGGAACCAGAGACACGAAGACTTCCGCTAAAATAAAAACTTCGCTTTACCAAGTTTCTTTTCTGGGTAAGTGATGATTAATTGATTTTGATAATTCATAATGATGATTTGATTATTTTCGGCAGCTCTGAAGGTGATGACCATCTGCTTCGAAGGTGAATTGATCACCGATTGGAGTCGCATCGCTAGAACGATGAGGGAGTTGGGTAAGAGGAACGAAGCAGCTACTTTTCTTTGGGATTTCTTGGATTTCGTTGTGACCCATCGAACTCCTCTGTTCATCCTGATGCAGCCGTTCATCTTCCAGAAGGTTTGTTAATTTTCTTTTTGTTTGTTTGTTAATGTTATATTAAATGATTTTAGTTGGCGCAACCTCCGATTTCTGATTTCGAGCGAAACATCCACTCGAAGATCAGGGATAAGATTCGTGGTATAGGATTACCTCAGCCGCGAAGTCGAGGAGCGCTCCTCGTGGAGTTGGCGCGCGAGATGAAGGAGCTGAAGGAGGAGCTGGATGATAGTGAGTGGTTTTTTTTTTCATTTAGACGAGCTTATTTGTTTGAATTGCGATTATTTATTTATTTTTGTGCAGACGTAACACGTACACATGAAACATGAACACATCAAGGCTTCTGTAGTTAATCTTTGGCTAATGTTTTTTTTTGATCCAGTTAAACACTTACACAAATTATGTTTATTTTTTCTGTCTGTTGTCCTCGATGTTTTAGATTTAGCGGGAGTAATTGTTGTTGCTGTTGTATGCGAATCACTCTACAACATTTGTTGTCTCTAATTATCTTAGCTTCTTCAGAGGATAGCACGGAGACGGCCAAGAAGACGGATGATGGTAAGACGACCATTCAGATGACGAGCGAGACGAACCACGGCCGTCACCAGAGGCCTTCCCTCATCGAGTTCCTGACCGGCGGTGAGTTAGGTGGAAGACACGTCTCGAAGGTGACGCCCAACGAGCGCGGCGACAACGGCCAGCACAAAGGTAAAGTGACGTCCGGAACTTGGGTGTCGGATGTAGTAAGCTCAAAGTTTTCTAGCGTCGTTCGTAGAGTCCTCGTCGAGCACCAGCTTTGCGTCCAACCAGGCGAACGTCAGCATCAGCGAAGGACAGGAGCTGACGCAGAACGATTCGACCATCGCGGCAACCGGTTAGTTTTAGCAATTGACATTCTTCAAGTGTCCTGGATTCTTCGTCCATGGTTTAATTGTTGTGTCTCTGTGTGTATACATAGTTTTGGTCACCTGCTAGATATGTTCGCATGTTTCAGATCGATCTCAACACTCATCAGTTAGCGACGAACATGCGGTGCCGATGCACAAATCCGATTCTCTTAACTCCCAGCATAAATCTCACAAATTGCGTTTTGTTTCTTCCGTAGAATTTAGACACTCTTCAGGTAACATCTCCCACTGACTTTAACTCTACCTCTTCTCTCTCTACTCAACTCTACTCTGTTTCACTCATACCTGCACACAAACGTATTTGAATGATCGTTATAAGTGTGTAGTGTTTAGTTAGCGTTGCAATACCCCATCATTTCAAGTCAATTTGAATGAGATTAATTTAAAAAAAAAAATGTGATTAGGTATTGCAATAATTGGTAGTTCGTTTTAGTGTGTATTTTACTGTTGCAAGAGAGGAGGAGAATATTTTGTCCGTTTCGTTGTACATAAGAATTGTATTTAGGCGAGACGTCGACGACTCCGCTGAGTCCGGGAAGCCCGGCCGACGATAGCTCGGGAGAGATGCAACCCAGTAAATCCCGGTTGCAGCGTGTAAAACCCCAAAGCCGAAAAACGTTCCGTTTACGGAAGAGTCGCAAGTGCCGCATGGAGGTAAACCCATAATTGAGCCTCTACCATTCCCCAATCCTCCGAATCCACCTCTTCGTTCCGATGTAGAGTTTGTTTTTCGTTTGTTTTTTTAATTGTTATTGCATGGATCACGCGATTTCCATTGTAGACATCGTAGCGGATTTACTGCGGGTTTCAATTTTTTTATCATTTTCTTTTCGTGTTTCTCTTGTTTCTTTGGTTCACGTGACGTGGAACTTCGCAGATGTCCCACTCGAAGCTCGAAAGTGAAGAGCTGCAATCGCCGCCGCCGGTGATGATGACCACGCAGCCCCAGGTGGCTACTCCGCCGATGGAGCATCCGATTCTCGATCCGCACAGATTGCGGATATCCATCAGGGGGAAGCAGACGGAAGGGTCGTGGGATGAGGACAGCGCCATCTCGCAGACGTCCTCGACTTCCGGGTATCGCGAATCGTATCCGGTCATGCATCTTCGCGAAACTCTGGACTCGAGTCCCAAGCCCTTTCCGCCTCTAGCTTCACCAGATCTTCACGATCTTCCATCCACCAGCAGCACGACAACAAATAACTATCTTCAATGCGATAACAGTTCTCCGGATTGCTCTTTGAATGAAAACGGAGAAAAGACGGCTTTGATCAAAAAAAGCGAGCAACGATCACCAAGCCAGAAATCGCTCATCATGGTTTTCGAGACACAAGACGAAACCACATTAATCTAATTTAAAGCAAATATATTTCAATTTTGGCATGTCTTGGTTCCACATAATCCTCAACCTAATTGGTATCAAAATGACAACTGTCAATTTGTTGGATTACGAAAATCGAAAAGGTTGAGAAACCTGAATCTTGAAAAACTTGTCTACGTACTGATTATTATTGGACTTTAGAAAAATGTTGTTAATCCTTGTAGATTTATTTATAATTATTATGTATTTTCATAATAATCCTAAAACTATTTATGAAATATGTACAATTAGTGATGAAATATATATAAAAAAAAATATATATAGACGATTAATTAAATTTCAATATTTAATTTACCCCGAAACGTAGTTGCATAATGATGTATGTAAATTACATCGATAATAAATGAAGGCTCGAACAATTGAAACGTACGTAATACTGTACAATGTCAAAGGTGGCCGCTGACGAATACCATGTTTATCTGGAAAACAATGGGGAGTCCAGTGCATAGTAAGTAGGGCGGATATGATTTATCGTTCTAGCGAGTAAACATTATATAAAAACTCTTCAAATATTCTAGAAGGAATTTACCGGTAAAAAAATGGCAATAAACAATATTTGTTGTTGGTACAAACAGTATATGACAGTTGACATATAATTTAAAACAATTTATATAATAGTTTGTTTCTTTGTTTTTATTAGATATATTGATAAATTTGAAACAGTTTTTTCATCGATTATTTTGCTTGATATTTAATTATCATTTATTAAAAGAAACTTTCACATAACAACAACAACATTTTTACGTTGTTTATTCGCTTAATATTCATTGCCAATTGTTAAATAAAACAATTGCATTTTCTTGACAAACAATTGAATCTCTATTATGTATTCAACTGTTTATAAATATTAAACAGAGACATTATTATTAAGTAATATTTATTTTTAATCATTTATTCAATCGTTTCACTTCTTAAACTAAATTTTTCTATATGAAATTTTTTATTTTTTAGGCATATCGACATTAAGATTTGCGATGATGTATCCAACGGACGCCCACAAAGCTGTGTTCTTATCCAAAACATCCGGATCCTCGATATCCAAGGTATCTGCATTCGTGTGATGATACCAAAAGTATCTTTCGTTCTTGTTGTACAAACTGGCGCCGGGAATGCCGCGCGAAGTTAACACAGCAATATCAGATCCAACGTCATTGGATCTAACCAATTTCGTAGCATTCAGCTCTTCAAACAATCTGCAAAAACCCTCACAAATCAAATAATATATCATTGAAATCAACAACACTTACGACAATATTTCCTGAAGGATGCAAGCCCCCGTATCCGGCCCTTTATACTCTAAACCTATAGGTTCGAAAGTCCCCTCATCCGACTCCATAACGAACGTCAAATCATCCTCTCTGTGACTGTTCGCATACGCCCTCGCTCCAATCAAACCCTGCTCTTCCCCAGACCACAGAACAGCCCTCAAAGTCCTCTTCGGTCGTAAATTCAGCGCATTCAATATAGCCAGAGCGTTCCAACTCATAACAGCGGCGGCTCCATCGTCCATAGCGCCGACAGTTACATCCCAGCAATCCAGATGACCGGAAATCATCACAAGCTTCTCCGGATACGTGTGACCTTTCAAATTCATCAGAGTATTCCTCGTTGTCGTTGTTAAACTCTTCGATTCCATCTTCACATGGATGATCAGTTTCTCTCCTCTCTTGTACCTCCTGTCCAGCATTTTCGCGTCTTCGACGGTGATGCTAGCGGTTGGGATTTTCTTGTACTTGCCCGAATAGAATTGGGATCCGGTGTGCGGGGTTCGCATCGAGAACGGTGTTATGGATCGGATCAAGGTGGCGACGGCTCCGTGGGCGGAAGCGTGATCGGCAGACGAACTCCTGTATTTCGCTGTTGCAGGATAACTGACGAAATCCTGATTGAAGACGACAATTTTTCCTTTCGCCTGCAAACATTATCAATTTCAACTGTAATACGCAATTACATATCTACATATCTCAATCGTTAATTAATATTACGTAACCATTCTTCTATTAAAAGATGATTTATAAAACAATTTATAAACAAAAACTTTCATATGCAATTACATATCTACATATCTCAATCGTTAATTAATATTACGTAACCATTCTTCTATTAAAAGATGATTTATAAAACAATTTATAAACAAAAACTTTCATATGCAATTACATATCTACATATCTCAATCGTTAATTAATATTACGTAACCATTCTTCTATTAAAAGATGATTTATAAAACAATTTATAAACAAAAACTTTCATATGCAATTACATATCTACATATCTCAATCGTTAATTAATATTACGTAACCATTCTTCTATTAAAAGATGATTTATAAAACAATTTATAAACAAAAACTTTCATATGCAATTACATATCTACATATCTCAATCGTTAATTAATATTACGTAACCATTCTTCTATTAAAAGATGATTTATAAAACAATTTATAAACAAAAACTTTCATATGCAATTACATATCTACATATCTCAATCGTTAATTAATATTACGTAACCATTCTTCTATTGAAAGATGATTTATAAAACAATTTATAAACAAAAACTTTCATATGCAATTACATATCTACATATCTCAATCGTTAATTAATATTACGTAACCATTCTTCTATTAAAAGATGATTTATAAAACAATTTATAAACAAAAACTTTCATATGCAATTACATATCTACATATCTCAATCATTAATTAATATTACGTAACCATTCTTCTATTAAAAGATGATTTATAAAACAATTTATAAACAAAAAAGTTTATAAAACAAAATGTACTACGCGATTTGCATACAATTCGCTTGATTGTGGGTCAAATTGTCTATTGACTATTTCCGGTTCATGAACCTCAAGAATTGCTGTATATAAGAAATTTCTAACAAAAAGAAATGATGAAGTCGACGAAAATAATAGTTTGAAAGTTTGTTAAATACGAATAAATTAAGTAATTGAAGTTTTGTAACTGAAAAAGTTGTTTTACCAGAGGTCCTATGGCATCTAATTCTTCGAAAGAAGAAACGACAATTGCCTCGGCAACGATTCCTTCCGTTGGCGTGGAAACGCTCGAACCGAGACCCAGCATCGGAAGATCAAGTCTCACCGGTTTTATCAACGAAGCGGATTCGTTACCTCTTATCCAATAGGGAGCGAGAAACTCTTCACCGTAACTCTCCAAGTTTTGTTTGCGTCCCAGATCGATCATGTAATCGATGGCATCGTTCAAATTCTGACTTCCCGTGTATCTGCTACCGAATTTATCGACGAGAAGACTCAGATTATTGTACGTCGAACCTTTGAACGGTCCATCGATCGTCGCACTCACGATCCTATCGACGACATCCTTGTGCGAGCGGATCGCTCGTCTCACGCTGTCATCCAGATGACATCTGTCAATCTCGTTGTTGCGTAAGTCACAGTTCGCGAACGCGACGAACAGCGACAGGAGGAGAACGTAACGAGGAAACGCTTGCTGCTGCATTCTCGGACCGTCTTCGAACGATCGCGCAACAACAATGACAACATACACACCTCTACCTACTCTATCCACTTGACAGAGACCGCGCGACGTAAAGCAACTTGATTCATTATATAATTGCAATAAAAATTAAAACAAAAACAAATGAAACGCGTTATCGTAGCGTCAAATTGCGCTTGTAATTAATACATTTTGGAAGCGAATCATACTTTAGATTTATAGCAAATTTTCACACGTTTTTTTTTTTCAATTATTATTAATATTTTCACTCCCACCTCAATCCGCGTCCTGCGTGTTGCAGAACGCCGTCATATCAGTCTGCTTGATGAAATTCTGCCACATGCTACATTGCTTCACTCTCGCTGCTGCAGATTGCTCGGACTCTACGTATTTGCATGGAGTCCGTGAAAAATGATTCGGCAATTCATCGTCTCTAAAAAAAAATATCATAATATATTACAATGTTTTCACTTATTTACTTTATGAAATAAAACAAACTTGAAACAATTGAAAATTGAAACTCACGGAACGTCAATGTTCGGAGGAAAAACAAAATCTATAGCGGTTATGTTGATTTTATCGAAATTTTTGCTTGTCCGTTCCCTTGGCAACATGACACAATCGTACTCCTCCCTGGGTATCCCGATCAATCCTAAAGTGATCCCAAAATCCAATAAGGTTTCTTCTGGAGCAGCGAACATCTTTTCCAAATACTGAATCCTCTCCGTCGTACTTGATTAATTAATTTGAAAATTAAAATGTTTTTTTTTTCCGTTTGTTTGTTCATAAATTACGGTTTGAATTCTTTGAATCCGATTCCGAGCATCCGGTAATCGTGTGCGCCAAGTATCAGATCCTTCGATAATCCTGATCGCTGCTTCAGTTTGGACTCTTTGAAATTCGCTGTTCCCACCAGCATCCGATCTTCGCGTTGCGTTCTGTTCAAAGTCCTTGAAAGTTTCCCCCTGTGCACGACTATGTTGAAGAAATCAGTGCGAAACAAACGATTCGTTTCCAATTCTTATAAAATAATCGAAGCATAATCAATTTGGGTGTGATTCAAATTGCATACCTATCAGATTCAAATAGCGGCGTTGAAGCGCGATCCAAGTGACACGAACTGTCTAAAAGAAAAACAAAATTCAAAGTTATGATTTTTTTTTGTTTGTTTAAAGTTATTTTATGACCATGCATAGAAGAGCTTCGAAAATCCTTCGATCCTTCTCCGAAAGCGAATTCGTCGATGAGCTGAGATGATGATACTTTGCTATCCCGCCGATTCCCATAATAATGCTGCAGTATTCCCTCGACAACATACTTCTCAAATCCGAAAGATCGCTCATCTTTATATCCTCCAATTCACACACAACCGGTTGCCGCAGCTTCCTTTTTGCCTCTTCCCTCCTCTCCAAATTGAAATCCCAAAGCTACAAAAAAAAATCTTAAAATAAATATCATAAATTAATCAATACTTTAAACCTGCAAATAGTAGTGAAAATAGATGATTATGGATTTTAAGAAACGATCGATTTCAGGTAAATGAAAGTACTGGATAAACTCAATAGTCAAATCTTTCGGATTGGCCAGAAACAGAGCGACGTCTTTGATATCCTGCAACGTTATCACTTCCGGTTCGTTCATCTTGACGCGTCTCTGGAAAAACCTCCTGAAATAAATCTGAAAAAACAAAAACAGTTTTTGTAATTCAATTTTTTTGTTTGAATATCAATAACTTTTTCCATGCTTTCGATGCCCTCTTTGAAACGGATCGAGCTGGGAATTATCTGTTTTCCGGGCTTCTGGATTGCCGGACCCGCGGCCGCCGTTGTCGCAATCTTCAGCGGAGCGTCATGACTGTAAAAACGTTGGTTTCAAAAGAAAACCATTGTTTTGTTTCTTGTTTTATATACTTGACGTAGAGCAGTCCGATCTTTTCTTGGTCCCAGATCCAGTGGCCGTTCTTGAATTGCTGCTCCGGACTACTCTCCATGATCACCGCACATTCCCACCTCAAACGTTTGACACTGACTTCTGTCTTTTGACGTTTTGAAAAATGTCATCTAGCATAGTTTTCTTAGGTTATTTATTGTTTTTGTTGTTGTATTACACAATGACTTTAAAACTTGTTTCACTGA